GCGAGGTAGCAGGGTGGGGGGGCGTCGGGGGGGGGGGGGGGGGGGGGGGGGGGCGGCAGGGTGGCCCGCCCAGCACGCGCAGCTTTGCGCCTGCAGTTGGCGCGGTGCTAAACTGGCCGCTTCACGGCGGCAGCCCACGTGCGGATCGAGCTGCGAGGGCCCCAGGGCCCGAAACAGTGCGAAGACGCCCGGCCCGATGCAGCGACGCCAGTCGGGCGGGTGGCAATGGGGGCGACCTGAATGGGGGGGTGAAGAGAACTGCCCTGCAGGCCGCAAGCGCTTCTTCCGAGTCCTTTTTGGGCCCCTGCCGGCTCCGGAGAGGGGGCCCCGGAGGGCCCCGTGCAGGGCCCCTTCTCTTCGTCCTCCATTCGGGCGCGCTGGAAGCGCCCCTGGCCCAAGGCGCCCCGTGGATTTCCAATGGCGCCCCCCGCGGCCTCCAGAACGCCCTTCGCGAAACCCAAGCGGGCCCCAGGGGCGGCTTCAAAATGGGGCGAAAGACTGGGGGCATCTTGGGCCAGGGGCACTCCGAGTGCCGCAGGAATTGCCATTTCTTCCTCGGCGGGGGGCGGCAGAAGGCCGGCGGAAGCACGGCTGCCTCCGCCGGCAGAAGCCGGCGGATGGCCGGCGCGGCCTCGGCGGCTCCAGGGAAGCGAATTCCTCCAAAGGTGAGCGGGGGGTCGCAATTCCCCCCCCGACAGCAGAAGGGCAGCGGCCAGCCATGATGGACTCGCGGCAGGCTCCACGCGGCACAGGCCGCTGCTGAAGCGCCCCAGTTGGCGAGGTGAGAGCGCAGTGGGCGCCCGACCACTGCGGGCAGCCACGTCGCGCACATCAGTTTCGTTGACCTCCTGGAACTCATGGGCGAATGGGCGGCAAGAGAACCCTTCGAGAAGCAGCAAGATTGGCGGCGATTGTTGGATCATGCTGGTATATGGGCAGGTTCCATGATCGCTCTAGCATTTCTACGCTGACTTGCGCCGGTTGCGTTGTCGGCTTTGACCCCTTGGCCCGCTCCACTACCGCCCGCGTGTGCTGCTGCGACATTGCTGCCGCGGACTTCATCTTCAACTACTTGCAAGTCGCGAAGGAGCGGCTACCTCGAGGCTTGGCCATGCAACGCCGAATCCACTGTGAGGGTGGATCGCCTAGGTGAGATCCTGAGAATGGCACGAACAAATTGCGTCGCCATAGAATGCCTCCAGAGTGCACAGATGTCGCTTTCCACACCTGGGCGTCCGGAAGGATTTTACATTATACCGACCGCCCGCGCAGGCACCAGAGCGCGCGGCGGTCGCGCCACCGCCGTGAACCTCTAGTTTTTCTCTCAAGGAGCTCAGTTGCACGCGCGAGTGGATTGCGGGGCGCCTTCTCGGATTAAGATTGAAACGAGACGGACCGCGCCCCCGTGACGTATATGTCTGCAACGGGCACGCGCCCGCGAACCAGCCGCCACACCACGTCGCCCGAGGGGCTGATGAGGAAGCTGTACGCCTCGAGCACTACCGCCAGCAAGACCATTTCTGGCACACGTGCGCTACCACGATCGCCAAGATCCCCCTTCGGTGCACGCACCTATGGCTGCTGGGCGCGAACGCCACCGCGAGCCCCGGCCTTCCGAACATCGGCCTTGCTGGACAGTCTCACAATCCGCAGAAGCTCAATGGATATGGTCAAATGCAGTCAACTGGGATGATGGCTTTGAACAGCTTCGGCAGCAGAGAAAAAGATGCAACGGCACATGGTGCCATACTGACGGAAAATCGCGGTCGACAATCGGTTATTGTTCCACAATAGCCCAAGGCGGATGGGGACTTCGAGCGCGCCCCCTCCGAACGGCCGCCATCAGCATCACGGGTTGTAGAGACCGTCGCCCGATCGAGAGAATTTTCAAAGCGGGCTTCCGTTGTGAGAAACGATTGGCTTCAGAACCGCTTCGCTGAACACGTGGCCGACGACTTGAAGACCTGGTTGTTCTTCAAACGTGTTCCGAAGAGTTAGAGCCCCTTCCGCGGGATCGTGAGTTCAGAGTACGCCTCGAAGCTGAATTGTCTAAACGAAGACTTCGAGGCGATTGGAAAGATGAATGCGGACCAGACTGCAGGTATAGAGACACGTCTGGATAATTCGAGATCCTCGAGGGAGCTTTGGTGGGTGCTCTTATGCCGCTGCGTTCGACCCCAGCAGAGAAACGATCACCCCCAGAATCCAGTCAGGAGACAATGGCTTTCATCAAGGCAAAGCAGGACATCCAAACCAAGCTGTCCAACGTTTGCCCTACGACTAACTGGCTGTGGAAGGCTATGATGTCGTCCTTCAAGGTGGCGGCCTTGGCAGCAAAGAGAGCAGCGCGTTCTGAGAAGCGCTGACGGCTTGCACTCCTGATCACTGAGGCGGGGCGAGCAGAGGAGTGTCAGGGCACCAGGCGATGGTACAGTATCGTGCTGCGTCTTGCGCCCAAGCCTCGCCTCCCCTTCCTCACTGTTCGCAACCCAACTACAGCAGAGATGCGCGTGGATGGCGAGGAAGACCTACAGGCGCGCACAGAGGCCCTGTGCGAAATCTTCCAGGCTCAGGAGATCCCCATGAGCAACCCTGGTGGCCCAAAAGAATTCAATGACCCTGACGTTTCCCCTGGGAAGCGATTTCACAGTGGACTATGTGGAAAAGGTTATCTGGAAGCTCCCGAACTTCAAGGGCGGCCCCACATTGAAATGGCACGACCCCGAGCATTGGACCCCGATCGCCCCCCCGACCCAAAGGTGAAGGTGCTGTTGCGGAACTCTGGAAACTCACCGGCCCAGTAATCAAAGGCCCAACGACGGCCGTATTCAAATCTTGCCAGGTTTACGGCCGAGCTGCTCAGCGATTCAAAAACGGCGAGACAGTTACTATCAGAAAACCAAAGGGAGACGGGACCTATGCGAACGACCATGATAGAACAATAAATCATCGGCTACACGGGCAAGGTTTACGCAAACACTGGCCACTGGACAAGGCCGCTCTACACGAGATGCTGTAGTGGTGGTCGACGAGATCCTTCGCCGCTTCCGCAGATGCGAACGGCGATATGAGCAGCCCGCCCGTTCTCTCGCAGCTATTCTGTTGGATCTGGAAAAGGCGTTCGACCTTCTACCTCGGTATCTATGTCCAGAGGAGTTCGTCTTCACATTGAGGAATTACACAACGGGACCTGTTATATCATCAGTGACCCTCGTACCAACCAACCAGTTCGTAAACTCCCGGTGGGGAATGGGTTGCGCCGGGACTCCGTGGAAGGCCCAAGCCTATTCATCGCGATCTACGACATGATTGTTGCGACGGTTTTCGGGTGCTTCTTCCGAAAAATGAGGCCTCCCAGGGGTCCAAGTCATCTTCGATCCAGCCTTCCAGATCATGCGGTGCACGGGCGTTTTGAGCGAGCAGGTGCACGAGCTGAGGAATGCGTCGGCAGTAAGATTCGTTGACGACTTGATCGTAATGACGGCCGCCCACTTCTTTGAAGGAATCACGAAATTCTTGAATGTCCTGAGGAATGAAATCGAGGCCAGAGGTATGACATTTAACACGCCCATGACAGAGTCAAGAGCAAGCAAACACGAGTTCACTTTCGCGAAGCTGACGGTATGCGTCTTGCCTTGCACGCACTCCCGCATGTCAAGCACTCAGGCGTGCGCCTTTCTGGTCAAGGCACCATGCGAGAGGAAGTCGCCGCCCGCTTGCAGAGCGCGAACCTTGCCCACGGCAGATTGTCGCAACGAGTCATCCGGAGCAACATCGGTATGCAGTTGAGAATTCGTTCGCGGTGCTCGCTGGTTCGATCAGTGGTTTTTTTCCACGGAAGCGGCTATGCTGACCAAATCAGAAGTCGCACGACTCGAGCGGTGGCAGAATAGATGCCTTCGACGCCTCCTCCGTTCACCAGCCCATCTTAAGCGCGTGCCGAATGAGGGGATCAGGGAGAAGCCGCATATTTCCAGCGTGGCCTCTACCCTCCTGTTCAGAAGATCTAAATGGTGGAAACACGTTTTCGGGCCAGCTTTCCTATGCCCCCCACCCCCCACCCCCACCCACCCCGACTACGACCCGAGCAAAATGGTTAGTGTAGTTGCGTTCGGCGGTTTATCGCTCGAGGCCCCCACCCCTCCAGGAACCGACTGCACGGCTACTGTTACTAAGGGGGGACCTGACTACCCTCTTGAAGTCTTTGGGCGAGCCTGAAGGGCCAGATTCCCTGGCGAGAGCTCCCGCCGTGCACCCCAAGTGGCTCCTCTGGCCCCGCGAGACCTCCGTCAAGGCTCTTCGTTCCGCGCTGTCGTTCTCGGCCCCGAGCGTTGACCGTCGCGGTGGCGAGGGTGGCGAAGGTGATGAAATCAAAGTATTTCAGCGCCCTGATTGTGGAAAAGCGCGTCGGGGCCAAAAAAGGCCTTCACTGCAGTCCATAACATCGAACCTAACGTTCCAGCAGTACCAGAGGAACTTCTTAAACGTCGGGTACGCCCGCACTGTAGTGCACCATTCACCAGAAGGGGTTCTGTCCAACGCCATGTCCTTCACCGGTGCCGCGTGGCTCGAGGACAGCAGGCAGCCCGGCCCGTTCCCATTGCACCAGGGGCTGGCCACAGCGAGAGTGCTAGAGATGTTCGAGCCGCTCGGGACGACCACTAAGGGCGCGACGAGGCCCCGAGAGGAGAAGGAGGAGGCAAAGGGCAAGGACTCGAAGGACGCCGAGTGCGAGGGCCCAATGAACAAGCAGCTGCGGACAGCCATCGCCCGCCTGGTGCTGCAGCACGAAGACGCACTCCGAGCGGCGGCACGCGACGACAACTTCGCGATCATGATGAGGTGCTCGAACCCGATCGCGAAAGCGCTGGAGGCGAGCACGATGAGGTGCGCAGAAGCGGGGAAAAAAAGCTCGAGAGGAGGCCGAGGAGGGCGCCTTCCGCGGCAACCCGCTCGGAAAGAAGCCAGACGCCTACCTCAAGTTCCTCCTCTTCAGGGCGATGGAAGCCATCGAGGGGGGCAAGGCCCCGGAGCAGGGCCTGGGCCCGATCAGCACCAAACGCGGCCTGGAGATGCTGGCGACGTGGGGCGAGAAGGCCAGCGCGAAGGAGGCCGTGGTTCAGGCCACGAGATGTTTCTTCATCGAGACGAAGGAGAGCCCAGACAGCGACGTGGAGTGCGTGAAGTGGATCTTCGCGATGAACTCGCACCCGGAACTCAAGACCTCGTTCGACATCGCGAGGTCCAACGGGTGCCTGAAGGCGATCAGCCTCCAGCTGGGCAAGGACGAGGCCCCCCGCAGCCGCGCCGCCAAGCAAGTAGAGCGCCTGGCCTTCCGCAGGGGCGGAGGCGGGGCAACAGCAGGCAAAGGCAAGATGACACAGCGCAAGTAGCAGGAGTATCAGAGGTAGGAGTAGCAGAGCCCGAGGAGCCTCCCACCTCTCGAGTAGGGAATCCAGGGGCTTCGAACCAGAGGCTTATCAAATATGTTGTTAGCTCTTCTTGTGGCACGTGAGCGTGTTTTGGATCGGGGCTCGAAAGCCTTTGTTTTGGTGTAGTTCCGTAGCCAGCCCTGCAGAGGCGGGGGTGCGCGGGGGTAGGATGCTAGGCCTCTCCTCTCAGCTAAGTCTAGCTGTGCTGGCTGGTCGTCCGCCCTGCGTGCCGCTGCGGGTCTTCCATCGTTCATAGTGGGTGATGGCGCCGAGATATCGGTAGGTTTTAACAGACCCCGCATGAAGCCTCCAGAGCCATTGACCAACGGGGGTTGTGATGGCAAAAAGGAAGGCCGGCGGAAGGCGGCAGCCGACGACGACGACGACGACGACGACGACGACGACGACGACGACGACGACGACGACGACGACGACGACGTGGGCCGCCCGCGCGAGCCGAGCTCTCGGGGTCGGGGCCGGTGCCCGGCGAGCGGAGGGACGGCGGGGAACGGAAAGCACAGCGGCGGCGCGCCCGCCTCGCGGGCTTCCCCCCGCACGCGCCGTGCCGCGGGCGCCCCCGGCCGCTGCGCCCGCGCGCGCGGGCGCGGGCGGCGAGCGCGGCGGGACCCCCTGCTGCCAAAATTCGGAGGAAGGGGGAGGCGGAGGAGGAGGAGGAGGAGGAGGAGGATGAAAATGAAAAAGAAGAAGAAGAATAATAATAATAATAATAATAATAAGAAAAAGAAGAAGAATAATAAGAGGAATAAGACTAATAATAAGAAGAAGAATAAGAAGAAGAAGAGGAGGAGGAGGAACAGGGGGAAGGGGAGGAGGAGGAGGAGGAGGAGGAGGAGGAGCAGGAGGACAAGGAGGAGGAGATATGACCGAGGTTTTTGGGGGTGTTTGACCCTCGTTGGGCTTCTGGGTTCTTCGGCGTGCCCCCCACGCCGCTGCCCCCCCCCTTCGCTTTCCCTCTCCTGGGCGTCCTGGGAGACGCCCTCGTCACCACCGCTGGCTTCGCTTCGACATTCGGGTCCGAGCGCGCCCCAGGGGAGAGGTCTTGGGAGTATAGCGGTATCGGTAACTTTTTGGTTTCCCCAAACATGGCGCCCGCGAGCCACTGTCTGCGGTCGAAAACGAGAGACGGCACGAACTTGCTTTCTCGGAGATCCGTCGGCTTTTCTGGCGTTCCTGATTTCCTGGCGATCGTCAACTTCGCGCTACGGTGCTAGGCGCGCCGTGGTGAGGCTCTGTGGCCGCGCGGTTCTCTCCTCTCCGGAGCGAACGATGGACTCACGCGTGCATGAACCCACGCTGGTTTCGAGAACACGCACTGGCCGAACGTTCGTGTCACGCGGCCAGTGCCGCGGATCGAGGGGCCGTGCGTCCTTTGTGGACCCCCTCTCCTCCTCTCCTCCTCCTCCTCCTCCTCCTCCTCCTCCTCCTCCTCCTCCTCCTCCTCCTCCTCCTCCTCCTCCTCCTCCTCCTCCTCCCTCATCCCCCTCTCCTCTCCTCCCCTGCCGGACCGAACAACAGAACACAGCCTCGGAGGCCCGCGCGGGGGCTCTCTCGGACCCCGGGCTGCGCCGCGCGGAGCTCTCGGGCCCGCGCGGGCTTCGCGGGCCTGGGCGGGGCCCGCCCCGACAGCGCCGCCCCGACAGCGCCGCCCCGGAGGAGGAGGAGGAAGAGGAGGAGGGGGAGGATTTCGAGGAGGAGGACGAGGAGGAGGAGGAGGAGGAGGAGGAGGAGGAGGAGGAGGGGGAAGAGGTGGAGGAGGAGGAGGAGGAGGAGGAGGAGGAGGAGGAAGAGGAGGCGCCAGGGTCCAGCGCAGATCCCAGAAATCCGCGCGGACCTTCGACAGCGCATGTATACTCAAGAGGATTAGGGCCGCCGACCCTCAGGAGAGGCGGGGAGTCCACGGTTGAGGCGTCGTGGGCTTCGTGGGCACGGTTTGGGGACTCTTGTGGGCTTCTCTTGAACTCTTTGGGGGCGTGGCCGAGCCTCTTGGCGGCAGTTTCGAAGTGTCTGTCGGGCCGTTTGGGAGCCTCTCGGGGGCCTCTTGGGAGCCTCTTCTGGGGGGCCCGCCTGCTCCTCTGTGCGCCCCCCCGGCTGGTGTCGGCCCCTGGGGGCGCCCTCGCCGTGGCTCCGGGGCCGCTGCAGGAGCGGCTCCGGGATGGGAAGCCGGTGGCGCGGGATGGGTCGAGATCCCGGGGGGGTCCGCGCCGTGCAGAGCCACGACGTCGGGGGGCCCGGGCCCCCAGGGCTGCGCGAGCGCGCACGGGGGAGGGGGCGGCGCGAGCGTCTGGGGGCAGCCTGACGGGGCACCCTTGTTCGGTATCGATTGGCCGATCCCCATGCCCATCCCCGTCCCCTTCGAGACCCCCACCAGACTTCCACCCTAGTTGGTGACACACCCTTCGAAGCCCGAAGGGGACGACTTATATCCCCATCTAAGGGGGGAATCGGCCCAGGCCACGCCGCTGGGGATGGGGATCGGTGAAACGATACTCAGTTGTGGGGTGATAGGCTCGGGGGGGAGCGCGTCGGCCCCCAATCGCCCACTCATCGCCGAGGGGGGCTCCGATGGCCCGCCCGGCCCGGACACCGTGCGGCTTCGCAGCCGTCGGAGCTCAAGAGGCGAGGATGTCAATGCAAACGGGGGTCGTAAAACGACGCGAAGATCGAGACAAAATCGGATCGGGATAACTCGAAATCTCTGAGAATCGGCGGGTTTGGAGGATGTATTGGGCGCCGCGGCCGCTCCAGAGCGTTCCGGAACGCTCTGAGAGCGCTCCGGAACGCTCTGGAGCGATTTATCCCGATCCTAGCCCTGTTTTAGGTCGGCCAGGGCGCCTGATCTGGCCGGATCCTGAAGAGCCAGGGGTGCACTGACCCGGGCTTGGGCGCAGGATCTTGCAGGATCTTGCAGGATCTTGCAAGGCCTGACTGATCCAGGTCCGGATGGCGCTGGTAGGTCCCCGAAGTTTGGGGGCGATCGCCAGTGTTGTGATTCGGCGATGTTCAGGAGGGAAAAAACACACAGACACAATGAATCGTTGATTCTTTAGAAACTATGGGAAAATATGGGAAGTGGGGGGAAGACAAAAACCATAAATATTGGAACATGTGGGGAGTCCTGTGCTTTGTGTCTGTTCACTTGCGTGTCCCAGGGCCCCTGCGGATGTGTCGCCGCTTCCAGGCCGACGCTCCCCTCCCCGGAGACGGTCCCTCCACGTGCCGTTGCCCCTCGCTGCGGGCTGCGCGCGCAGCGAGCGCGGGGGGGGGGCACGCCGCGTGGGGGGGCGGCGTGCGAAGGCAGGCGGACCTCCGACGGCAGCCAGCGTTTCTTCGGTTCCTCCTCCTCCTCCTCCTCCTCCTCCTCCTCCTTCTCCCCTCTCGGGTTAGGTTGGGCACGTCCCCCGAGCGGCTGCGCGCGGGCTCCGAGCGCCCTCGAGCGTCGCCGCGAGCGCGTGGTCTATTCGTGTCCTGCCCGCCCCTCCCCACGAAACTGTTTATATATATATATGTACATATATATGTATATGTATATATGTATATTTGTGTGTATATATAGTCAAATCGCGTCGCTTCCATTTTTTCATCGCGTCGCCCACATCACGAGAGGAGTATCCAACAATCGTGGCAAACAGGATGGTGACACTGCTTCGTGCTCTTTTGATCCGATCATTGTGGACTACGGTGGCTCAACAGTTTTGATGTGATGTTTGATCCTTCTTGATTTGATCATATTCTGATGATCCTGCTACTTTCGGTTATGTGGCACTTTATTACGAAGCCCGCCTGTAGCAGGACATGCCCGACCTAAATATTTGCCTCCGGGGCCGCAACCCCAAAGTTCCCGACGTCTTGCAGGCTCTCGGCTCCTGGACTCCAGGCCCGCCCCTTTTCCCCCTCTCTCTCTCTTCCCACACACCCCATTCGCCCTACTCCTCGTCCCTCGCCTTGCTGCCCCTCCCCCACCATCCTCCTCCTCCTCTTCTTCCTCCTCCTCCTCCTCCTCCTCCTCCTCCTCCTCCTCCTCCCCCTCCTCCTCCTCGTCGTCCTCCTCCTCGCGCCTTCCCCCTCCCTCCTCTTTCACTTCTCCGGAGCTGCAGCGCGAGGTGCTTGCCAGAACCGGGCACGCCAGAACCAAGAACCTAGTTTCAAGTCGGGCCTGTCTTGCGACAGGAGAATCGCCCCAAATAGTCCAAACATGTGACGGGGAGTTTTTTATATCGTGTTAGGCATCTTCTTTTGTATATACACATGTTTGGTGCATCGCCGATTTTTCGTCCCGAAATCCGCCAGCAGGGGGCAGGCCCGACCCAGGCCAGTGGAGCGGGCTGCGGCTCGGGTGCTGGCCGGGTCGTGCGCCATTTGGGGGGGAGCAGCCTTCCCGCCCCGAGGGCGCCGAGCACCCCTCCGCCCCCCGGGGTGCCGAGCACGAGGGGGAAACGAATCACGCACGGACACGAGGAGTCGTCGACTCGCAGGGAAGGGTTGGGAGATACGGGAAGTGTTAAGTCGGGCCCTTTCCTTCGACAGGAAGGATATTCAAGAACAGGTTAAAAAGTAGTCGGGGCACGATTTTTGACTATTTTTGAGCATGCGGGGGTATTTTGGGGACTATACGGAAGTGGGGGTGAAGACGAGCACCCAGAAGATATGGGACAGTTTGGGGAGCCCTGGGACTCGTGTCTGCGTGTTTGTGCGCCCCAGGGCCCGTGTAACCAGTCCTGTCGAGTCGGCACGTTCTGCCGAGCTTGCTGCACTCCCCTCCCGGGCCCATGGCCCAGCACCGCGGACACCAGAACCCCTCCTTTCTGCAAAAAGCCCAGCTCACGGGAAGCACCGCTGCCCGCGGGGGCCTCGGAACTCGGGGCGCCCAGCCGGTCTCGCATTCCGAGCGCAGCGGCTGATCGAGTGAGACACCTGCGGCAGTCGATGCCTGTACTCTGGAC